CCATCCTCAGGAAGTGGACCACATCGGGGACAGTATGGGAAGAGGGCGGTATGGAAACGGAGAAGAAGAAAAAAGTAACCTCACAGCAGAGACACCTGACGGCCTCAGCCAGGTGATCAGCATCAGCCGTGAGCAGCCGTCTGGAGAGCACCTGCCTGCCCTCGACGACGGGATGGGAATGTGCCTCCCACGGCCCAGTCTACCTGGAGAAAAACACTGGGCCAAACGTGAGAGCAACACGGGTCAAGGTCATTAAAGATGAGGTCCGAGACGCTGTCCCAACCAAGAGGGGCCTCCGGGGACATGAAAACTAAGCATAATGTGGGACCCTGGGTGGGATTCTGGGGCAGAAAAATGACATGAAGGAAAAACTAGAGACAGGTGAATAGTGAATGGGCTTTCATTACTAAAAAAAAAGTATCTTGATTGATCCTTTCATTGTGACTAATGCCCAACACACGGTGTTCAGAGCAGGGAATCTGGTTGTTGGGGAACTGGGAACTTGCTGTACCGAATTTGCAATAATTCTGTAAGTCCGAAGCTGCTCTGAAATTCAGAGTTGATTGAAATGGTTAAACCGCCCCGCTGATGACTAAAAGTTAGAAGAAGGAACTCCTGCTGTTTGTGCCAACGTGAAATAAGTAGACAGAGTAAGACAAGTACTCTATGATCTCCCTTATACGTGGAATCCAAAAAGAGCTGAACTCATAGACACAGCCCGGGTGTTCGCCAGGGGCTGGGGCGAGGAGAGAGATGTGGAGAAACGGGGAGATGCAGGAAGGGGGACAGACGCCCAGTGATAAGATGGGTAAGCTCTGGGGCTCCAGCGGACAGCATGTGATGGTCGTTAGTAATACCGTGTCACATCCGTGGCTGTTGCCAAGACAGCAGATCTTCAATGTTCTCACCACGGAAAAAGAAATAATTCTGTGACGGATGAAGGTATTAGCTAACGCTGCTTAATCACTTGGCGATGTACAAGCCTATCGAGTCAACACTTCTACGCTGTGAACAAGCCTGAGAGTGTGGGTCCATTGCACCCCAATAAAGCTGGGGGTGGGGGCAGGGGAGAATTTTAAGAAGGAGGAATACAAGGACGGGTGTGCCCTATCTGTAGGTATGAGGAAGCCACGTGGGAATATAATGTGCTCCCAGAAGAACAGCCGCCGATGGGACAAAAGGAAAAGCCTGGATAAACTCCTGTCAGAGCGGCCCTGGCAGCTGGCTGCATCGCTGGAGCGGCACCCAAGCACCAGAGAGCCTGCCAGTTTGATTTCTGGTCAGGGCACACACGGAGGCAACAGCTGGATGTTTCTCTCTCACATCATGTTTCTCTCTCTCCCCCCTTCTTCCCTCTCTAAAATTAAAAAAGAAAAAAAAAAAAAAAGAGAGAGAAGAAGAAAAAAAAAAAAAAAGCATATCCTAGGGAGAGGATAAAAAAGCCATTACAAAATTCTTAATAGATAAAGTAATCTGAGACAAAGGCAGAATCCAAATGAATAAAAGAGAAAGGATTATTCAACCAAATGTGTCGAACCAATTCGTTATCCCATTCTAAAACAATTACATTCGATTATTGTTCACATCAATTTTTTTTATTTTTATTTCAGGTTAAAGAATCCAATACAACAAGAAAAAGAGAGAAGAGATGAAAAAGCTTAGGACATGTACCTCACTGATTTTGGGACAGAAAACAAAGAAGTATTTCGTAAGCATGAAAGTGAAGAAATGACAAAGGGGTGCGTCGGCTGATTCCACTACATTTAAAGCCGAAAACCATAAACATTTCAACTTCAGGGCATCAGGAATTGACCAACCATGCAAAAAGCCAACCACCAGGAAAAAATGCCAGCCGCCTAACAAAATCCAGTTCATATCATCACTATCGAGTCCTCCTCTCAAAACAGAGGAGAAAACCACTAAAAACCCAGTGGGGAAAGAAACCCACGTTTACAAAACAATCTCACGGCACATGACAACACGCTGACCTCACTGGCAATTCGAGCAAGAAGCACCGTTTTCCATCTTTTGAATTGGGGTGGGGTGGGGTGGGGTGGGGAGATGTTTTTATTCTAATTCCCAGTGTGAGGCACAGCTTCTCTGAAACAGCCCCTTCAAATGCTTCTGGTAGAAGTTTAAAGTCTCAAAACATTTTGTAAAACCCACCTACTCCGGGTGCTAAAAACGTCCTGAGAATTCCACTCGGAGAAGCTTAATCCTAAAAATAAAAATAGAAATCAAAGAGGCAGACGAAAGCTGAGAGTGCCTTCTGCGGTGTTTTAATAGAGAAACACTGAAAAGCATCAGCGTTTTCAGCCAAAATGAAACCATTAGCAAAATTCTGACTCTCTGGTTTGGGAACTTTCCACGCTTTTCAGTTAAACACTGAAGACGCGCAGGTCCTGGTTTATCTCCACGCTCTGGCCGTCAGGACCTCTGACACCTGCCACAGAGGCCGGCCCAGGGTCAGGACTGGGCTTTCCTTGTGGAGGTTCCTGCAGGCAGGCGGCCCTGGGGGGCGGGGGAGGGGGCTGGGGGGGTCAGCTAAAACCCCCGTTCCCCCCCCCCCCCCCGCTCCTCTCCCACCAACAGGACGCTATTGGCTGATTCAAAAGACACAGCTAATCCTACTCCACGGCTCCAATCACTGCTCAGAACCTGCGGCGGCTGCTCACAGCCATAGAAGGCAATCCACGGCTCCGGAGCCTCAGTCCCCAAGTCAGAGCCGGACCCAGAGCCTGAGCCCAGACCCGCCCGGCCTCTCCCCGCTCTCCCTCCTCCCACACACACCGGTCCCCACAGGCCAGCCACCACCCAGCGAGCTCAGGAGGAGGCACGCTGCGTCCCCAGGTCTCCCCCCCCCCCCGCCCCCGCACCCCCTTCCCTCCTCCCCTCATTTGGCATCGATGGGCCAGGGAAATGCTCGAAAGCGGGTCAACGCTCCCTCCTGTGCTCGGAGCGCGCTCCATCGCTGCTCCCTCCGCACCTGGACGGGACGCACTATGCTCTCCATCCGTCCGCTCTGTGCCCGTCCTGTCTCCCGCCCGCCCCCTCCCAGCAGGGGCTCCATCAACACTGAGCCCCCTCCCGCCTCGTGCCTGGACCTGGGGGTGTCTGGAGGGAGGGAGCAGGATGGAGTAAGGCTGGAGAGCACTGCACCCGGGAGGACAGGTGGGGGGCGGGGGAAGGGGGCTTAGGGCAGCTGATGACCAGGGAGGGGGCAGTGAGGACAACCCGAGGGAGCCCCAGCCCAGGACTCCAGGTCAGGGTCCCACAGGCTGCTCCCCTGCCCCGCAACTGCAGCCAAGCGTTTTAGGGACAAATTACATCACCCCGCCGAAACCAGTGTGGCTCAGTGGATAGAGCGTCGGCCTGCGGACTGAAGGGTCCCAGGTTTGACTCCAGTCATGGGCATGTACCTTGGTTGCGGGCACATCCCCAGTAGGGAGTGTGCAAGAGGCAGCTGATCAATGTTTCTCTCTCATCCATGTTTCTAACTCTCTATCCCTCTCTCTTAGCTCTCTGTAAAAAATCAATAAAATATATATATTTTTTAAAAATTACATCATCCTGGCAGGTGGCCTGGGGTGAGTCCCACCCATGTCCTGAGCCTCAGTTTCTCCAAGTGTAAGAGAAGGAGGGTGGCATTGGAAGCCCAAGAATGATCCAGAAGGGAGAGAGTTGGAGGGGGGTACCTGTGTCTGAGCAGAAGGCTCAGGACACACCTCACCTCTTCCCAGCTCCCCACCTGGCTGACCCCTGCCCCCGAGCGGGGAGCTGTGCTTTGGATCCTCCCAGAAATGTCTCCTAGCTCCCTGGCTCTGGGCTTTGGGACACCCTCTCCCCCTGAACCGGAGCTCCTGGAAGCGGAGGGACCTTCACCCTCAGCCTGAGGATGACGGGGTCGCTCACACCCACCACTGCCATTCTTCCAGATTCTCCCCACGGGCAGCTGCCTCCAGCCTGGGCGCTGTGGTTTCTCACACAAGAACACTGTGACACAATCCTGCAAGGAACCTGCCCCTTCCCTGTTAGGTGCGGCTTCCTGCAGCTGCCCTCTGACAGAAAGGCGGGGATGGGAGATGTGGAGCAAACAGGGAAGCAGGAATGTGGGGGCCGGCGGGCGGGCAGTGTGCCCCCTCCCCGGCTGAGCCACAAGCGAGACGTTTTAAGGGAGAAATGCTGGAAAGCAGGCCTCTCGCTCGGAGGAACGTGGGGAACCATCTCCGCTATTTCTCCCGAAAGGCCCCACAGGGGTCTCCAGGGCCCCGGCCAAACGCGTGTCCCCAACACTGAGCAGAGAGTGGGGGGCTGGAGGAGACAGGTGTTGGGCGCGGGGACCAGGCAGCGAGGCAGGACCATCCCGGGAGCTGTCCGCCGGGGAAGGCGGGTGAGGGCTGGCAGGCAGGAGGGAGACACCTGGCTCAGCGGCTCTCCAGCCTCCCAGCCGGTGCCCGGTGCCTGGTGCCCGGTGCCAGGGCGAATTCTAAGAACTCACACCAAGTGAAAGCACAGAGGCTCTGGGGGCCACGCTCGGCCATGGTGCCTCCTTCCAAGGTCTCAGCAGTTGTGGGGCAGTTCTCACCCCATTTCACTAGCGGGAAAGTGAGTGTCTGGAAGGTGGGGTCACCTGCCCAGGTCGCACAGCCAGGAAGTGGCTGCGCAGCATTGGAACGCGGTTCTGTGCAAGGTGCACGGGTGGGAGCGGGGCGGCTCCGGGGAAGGAAGGGGCGTCGGGAGACGGCGGGGGTCGGCGGGGAGCAGTGGGGGGCAGAAGGGGGTGCCCCAGGTCCCCGGGGGGTCGCCAGTGCAGAGAAGGCGCCCACCCGCCTCCGCGCGGCGCTGAGCCCGCAGGTGCGCCTGGCCGTGGCGGACGGGCGGCTGAGCGCTGCGCGGGACGCAGACGGGGCCGGGTGGGCGCCTCGGGGTCGGGGAGGGCACCGCGGGGAGGGCACCGCGGGCGCCCCGGGGTCGGGAGGGCACCGTGGGTGGGGACGCACCTGGGTCGTGGAAGGGCACCAGCGCGTAGTTGGCGATGGCGCGGCTGCGCTGGCTCAGGCTGCGCTCCAGGATGCGCGAGGCGCCGTCCAGCACCTGCACCAGGTCGTCCCACATGGAGCCCGTGACGTCGAAGACGATGGCCAGGGTGGCGGCCCCGGCGGCAGGGGCGGGCGCCGGCGCGGGCTCGCTGGCCGCCGCGGCGGAGAGCGCCAGCAGCAGGCGCAGCAGCAGCGCGGGGGGCATCGTGCGGCGCGGCCGGGCCCGGAGGCGGCGGTCGGTCCGGTGCGCTCAGGGGCGCCCGGTGCTCGGCGGCGCCCGGTGCTCGGCGGCCCGGTGCCCGGTGCTCGGCGGCCCGGTGCCCGGTGCTCAGCGCGGCGGACGGTGCGTGCGCTCGGGACGGGGTCTCCGGGCAGGCGGGTCCCCCTGCAGGAGCCGGGGCGGGTCCTAGAGCCCACCCCGTTCAGGGTCACGGGCCCGCCCCCTCCGGTGACTCAAACTTTCCCGCCCCCGCGGCTCGCCAGGCCGGACCGAGGTTAGGGGAGGACGCGGGGCGGACCGACCGCGGAAGGCGGCTGCGGGCGGCCCGGGCGGCGGGGACGGGGATGCCCGGGGCGCGGCGGACACCTGCGCCCGGACACGCGCCTGCAGCGGGGGAGGGAGGGAGGGAGGGAGGGGTGACGCACAGCCCTGTCCTGGGGGCCCGCCGCAGGGGGGGGGGGGGGGCCTGGCCTAGTTGTTCCCTCCACCCCGCTCCCTGTAAACGCCCCGCCCCACACATGGATCCAGTGCTTTTTCTTTGCACAGTGCTTCCCAGTTACTGAAACTGTGACTGTTATAATCAAGCACCAGCTGAGCACCTACTGTGTGCTAAGCGTTTTCTCACGGTTATTTCCTCCAATGCTCGCTGCTACCGCAGAGGGAGGCTCTCTCTAACCCCATCTTACAGGGAAGCAAACTGAGGCTCGGGGTTTACAAACTGAGATAAGTCGTTAGGGCAGTCACAGCTCTCCAGCGGTGGCGGTAGGACTGGAAGCCAGATTAGAAAGATCCCCAGGACCCTGGCCTCTGTCGCCTGGGAGGGCTGGAGGATAAGGTCACAGGTCATCTGATGACTCCAGAGGACGGGGCGCCCTGTGCCGCTGCGAGGTTCTGGGCTCATGGAGGTGCGGGGTGTGCTTCCTGGGCTCTGGTTAGCCGCCCCCGCCCTTCGGCTGCCATTGCTCACTCCGGGCTGTGCGCCCCTGGTTTCTTTCTACCACGGAGGTCTTTCCCCATCGGCCTGGGAGCCCCTTGAGGCTGGGACTGTGCCTGGGCCTCCCCCCATCAGTCCTGTCTCCAGCTCAGTCCCTGGCGCATGGGGGACCCCACCAAATAAAGAAGAGTCGTGGCTCACTTGTTTGGAGCATCATCCGGTGCAGTGAATGGTCACGGGTTCGATTCCCAGCCGGGCTCATGTCTAAGCTGAAACCTTGGTTGGGATGTGTACGTAGGAAACCAATGGATGTTTCTCTCTCACATCAATGTTTCTCTCCAAGCCCCCCTCCTCTCTCTAAAATAAAAAGTGAGTGTGTGTGTGTGTGTGTGTGTGTGTGTGTCGCAGAGCGGCGGCCTGTGGACTGGAGGGCCCCGGGTTCAGTTCTGGTCAAGGGCGAGTACCACCGTTGCAGGCTCCTCCTCGGCCCCAGCCCTGGTCAAGGCACGTGCAGGAATCAACCAACCAATCGATGTGTTTCTCTCACATCAATATTTCTCTCAGTCTTTCCCTCTCTCTTCCACTCTCTCTAAAAATCAATAGGAAAATATCCTTGGTTGAGGATTTAAAAAATAAAATAGTAAATTAAATAAAATAATAAAATGGGAACTTGTTAAGAAAAGAGGAGATGCTTTTGTGGCCTGACTGGCCTGAGCCGTGGAAGCTGGCAGTTCCGGCTCCTCCCTCAGCCCCTCCTCTGGGGAGACCAGGCGCCCAGGACCGGTGCAGGCAGCCCCCCAAAACATGGCTGAGGGCTCTGTGTCTGTGATGGGGCGGAGGGAGGTGAAGAGGGGGCTCTTCCCTCCAAAGTCCCACCCCCTCTCCATACCTCCTACTTCCCCTGGCATCTCAGGTCACACCCCCCTCTGCAGCTGCTCCGGCACCCTGCCGTGGGACCCTCCAGCCGTGCTGGTCCTTTGTCTGGCACTGATCACGCTGTTCCCAATGTCATCCATGTCGCAGGGCTGTTCCTCCCCCCCACCTGTGAGCTCTGGGCCAGCAGAGGCCGGTGCCTGGCACGCAGTAGGTGTCCAAGGAAGGAATGCCACGTGAATGGGCCGGGGGAGTCAGATGCCTGGTAGCTGAGCGTGGCCCTGGCGGGGAAGGCCGCCCACATCCTTGGGGACCATGCTCTGGCCCGGGGCGAGGCCCGCGTGTCAGAGGGGCTGGGATCCGAGGGAAATGGGCTCCGTGGAGCCGCCGGCCTTGCAGGATATAGGCGGCACCAAGTGCCCAGGCCCAGGTGAAGCAGAACTTACGTCCAAGCTCACGGGAGGTGGAGTCACCTGTACTTCTGGACACTGGCCCTTTAAATCTCCCTGGGCGAAGGCCACGATTGGCCCCAGGGCCTGGCCAGGGCCGGGCCAGCTGTTGGAGCGAGAAGAGAGGCCCCAGCTGTGGAAGGCAAAGGCGGACAGGAGCCAGGGATCCAGCAGGGCTCACTGACAGGGACATGGCAGGTAGAGAACCGGGGACACACTTTGGGGACAAGCGAGTCCTTCAGTTATTCACTCTACAAACCCTCGCTGAACCTCAGCCGGGTGTCAGGCACGCTGCTGGGCACTGTTGGGGGAGGGGGCCATACAGATGTGCAAGACGTGCTTCCTACCCAGGGGAGAAGATTCACGTAAACAAATAATTCCAAGCCCATGACATAAGTGCTAACAGGAATTACCGAGAGCTCTGGGAGCTCAGAGGAAGGAGCGTCTGCGCCTGAGGGGTCAGAGGAGGCCACGGAGGGAGCCCGAGAGAACATGAGGGGAAGGGCATGTGAGGAGCAGGAACAGCATGTGCAAAGGCCAGGGGACAGGAGCCGCCTCCTCCAGCCCAAGGAGGCAGGAGGGTGACACAGAGCGGAGGTCAGAGGCCAGATCTCGAAGGACCATAAGTGACTAGTGAGGGCTGTGGGTTTTTTCCAGAGGCACCGAGAAGCTGCTGGAGGAGGAGGAGTGGGGTCCACATGGTCCTATTTGTGTTTTGGAAAGGTCACAGGGGCAGAAGGTCAAAGGGCAGATCTTAGAGCCGCCAAGGAGCCACAAACCCACTCCCGGAGGATGTAAGAGCAGAGCTGGCCCCAAAGAAAGCAAGATGCTTCTCCCAGGACTGATCCCAAGGGCAAGGGGACCACGAATCTGAGTCCTAAAAGGGTCTAGCACAAGGCCCCCTCCCCGCTGGCCCTTCATTCCCCCGTTGGCGGAATTATTTGAGATGGAGGGAGAGCTAACGAGATGATTGCTCATGGTTCCTACAGCCCCACTACTCTGCACCCACCACCAGGGGGCCTTTGGAGACACGGGCAGGATGCAGGAGACCATCCAGCTGCCATAGAAGGGAGGCTTGGATGGGCACCACCTCCCATCCAGGGCGGCCAGGGGGGCTGCCCCAAGCATGGCCCTCTCTGGGCTCTCCGTGCCTCCCCGAATGTAAACCATGGTAGCACTGAGCGGGAGCACAAAGGAAACAACCAAAACCTCATCCATCTTCCCCCACCACCACCACCTCGACGCGCCAGGCCACCTGGGACCCGAGTTTTGAACTCAAGATGATCCACGTTTTTCTTCTGTTGCCAGCAGGGGTCCCAGCGGAGCTGCTTGTTTGCTAACATACCACATGTTTGCTGCGGAGAGAGAGCACCAGGGCCTGGCCCGTCCAGGCCTGTCCACTCTGTCCTCACGAGTGATCCAAGACCAGCTGGGGGCTGGATCAGAACCCAGTACTGGGGCGACTAAAGAGGGGGGGCCCCTCCCTACCAGCGGGCCTTTCTCATGCTTCCCCAAATCTACCCGGTCTCGTGGGCAGATTTACACATGGATCCTCTGAGGTTCTATCCACCACCGCCCCCCTGTCCCACTGCCCTCTGCCGGAGGGAGCCCGCTCCGCTCCTCCCCAAGAGTAAGGGCTGGCGGTGGAGGGCATCTGCCCCGCCCTCCCTGAGGGCCGATCACCCTGAGGAGCGCCCTCTCCTTAGATCCCCCACAAACAGCCCAGCCACTCGGATCAACGTCCACTCTTCACCTGACGGGAGAGGACACTGCGGCAGAGGTGAAGTCCTGTGTCCAGGCTGGACGTTGCTTTCCCCAGAGCCCAGGATGGATGCACCCCTCCACGCTGCCTCAGACACAGGGGTGGTGGGTGGTGGGGTGGTGGGGGCTGGAGGTGGGGCTGGTACACAGCTCCCAGCTGCAGAACTTCCAGAACAATGTGGAGCTTGGGGAGCAGCAGCTCAGGCTGGACTCAGACTCAAGTTTCAGACATTTAGCGCCTTTGAAACGCTGAAAACTCATCTCCTACCCACATTCAACCAAACTGCCTGGGCAAAATGAGAGGAGGGAGGGAGGGAGGGAGGGAGGGAGGGAGGGAGGGAGGGAGGGAGGGAGGGAGAGAGAGAGAGAGAGAGAGAGAGAGAGAGAGAGAGAGAGAGAGAGAGAGAGAGAAAGAGAGAGGACACACCATGTGGAGAGCAGGTGAGTCTGCCTCTCAGTCTGTAGACACACAACCAGGACCTGAGAAGCAGAGTCTCACAGCCTCACTTCTCTTCTCTGGGAAGGAATAAAAGAAACAGGCGAGGGCCCAGCCCGTGTGGCTCGGTAGTTTGATTCCTGGTCAAGGCCCATGCCCGGATTGAGGGGCCAGTCCCCAGTAGGGGGCGTGCAGGAGGCGGCCAACTGATGATTCTCTTTCATCATGGACGTTTCCTACTCTCTCTCTCTCTCTCCTCCTTCCTCTCTGAAATCAATGAAACATATTTTAAAAATCTAAAAAAACAGCCCTGACCAGTTTGGCTCAGTGGATAGAGCATCAGCCTGCCAACTGAAGGGTCCCAGATTTGATTCCGGTCAAGGGCATGTACCTTGGTTGCAGGCACATCCCCAGTAGGGGGTGTGCAGGAGGCAGCTGATGGATGATTCTCTCATTGATGTTTCTAACTCTCTATCTCTCCCTTCCTCTCTGTGAAAAAAAAATCAATTTTAAAAAAATCTAAAAAACAAAC